TACTTCTTAAGTTTTTGCGGAGCTGCAGTATTTGACACTGCCATGGCGTTGGTAGCTCCACGTTCTGTCAGGGCTATCCCATTGGAGGAATTACAGGAGATCCTCTCCAGTCACTATTCCCCTAATCCATCCCAAATTGCCAGAAGGCATGCCTTCAGGAGATGGATTCAGGCTGAGGGAGAAACCATTAGTGAATACATGGCTGCCTTTCGGTCAGCTGCCTTGCATTGTGGATTTAGAGACTATCTGGAGGACATGCTTTTAGACCAAATAGTCTGTGGAGTCAGGGATTTAAGGCTACAAAGGCGACTATTAGCCAAGCGGGACTTAACCCTGGCAGTAGCCATTGAAGAATCGCAGGCTGCTAAGCTATCTGCTTTCAGCAGCAGAAATTCAAGGAACCCAATTAGACAGAATAGCTCAGCAATCCATTATGATGAGGTTTCTCCAGAAGAAGGCTCTGAGGAATCTAATGATGTAAATTGCCTCAGGCAGCAGAAACCCCTTCAAGAGGAAATTAGGCCAAAACCCATCCTACCCCGCCACCCCCACCCCGGCAGCAGTCCATCTGCCTAAGCTGTGGGGGAAACCACCTCAGGGCATCCTGCAAGTTCAGGAATGCCATTTGTTTGAATTGCCAAAGGAAGGGCCATTTAGCCAAGGGTCTGCCCAGAGGCCTCAGACAACCCCCATCTTTCAAAGGCAAGTTGAAGACTGTTATACCTGTTACCACTCCAACCAGACAAACAAAGGCTCTAACAAAATCACTATTTTTGTTTCCTTAGAAGGTAAACCCTGCAAGATGGAAGTTAACACAGGCTCTGCACTATCCATCATTTCCTGGGAGACCCTAAAAAGCTACTTCCAAGACTGTCAAAGAAGAAGCTCCTCGACTGCCACCTGACTCTGCGCGGCTACCAAGGCAGATCCATCCCAGTCCTCGGAAAAGGCAAGTTTTTTATTCAATTCAAAAACTTTAAAGGTTACTTGCCTTTAGTTATAGTGGATGGTGCTCTCCCTAGCCTATTAGGATTAGACTGGTTTCCTGCTCTGGGCCTCCACGTAACAGGCATCAACTATATTTCAAATACTGAAGAGGATAGTTTATTCAGGGATTATGCTGATGTGTTCAGCGAGGGACTGGGGTGTTACTCAGGAACCCCAATATCATTCAGTTTAGATGCTCAGGCAGTACCAATCCGCTTGAAGCCTCGTACGGTACCCTTTGCAATCCGCCCCAGGTTGGATATGGAACTGGACAAATTAATCAAACAAAGGTATTGGAGCCTGTGGACTTTGCAAAATGGGAGACCCCCATAGTCACTCCACTAAAGAAAGATGGTAGCGTGAGAATCTGCACTGATTACAAGATGTCCCTGAACAGATATCTGCAAATCAGCGCCTATCCAGTCCCTGTTATCCAGTCCCTGTTATCCAGCACCTTCTGCATTCTTTTGAGCCTGGAACCATTTTTGCTAAACTAGACATGTCACAGGCCTATCAACAGTTCCCTGCAGATGACCAAGCTGCAGAACTGCGGACTATAGTAACATACAGGGGCGCTTTTAAATGCAGGCGCCTCCAGTTTGGCGTAAGCGTAGCCCCTGGGATTTTCCAATCCTTAATGGAAAGGCTACTCCAAGGACTCCCAGGTGTAGTCCCCTATTTTGATGATATTTTGATTTCAGCCATAGACAAACCCCAATTACTACAAAGAGTCAGAGCAGTCCTTGATCGTTTCAGACAGCATGGCCTCAAGTTAAAAAAAAGACAAGTGCACCATTGCCACTAAACAAGTAGAATTTTTGGGTTATAGAATTGACTCCTCTGGTATACACCCAATTGAATCCAAAGTCAGGTGTCGATGCCATTTGACAGCCAGTATAAAAGGAGCTGTCAAACGGCATCAGCTATTGCCGCCAGCTGACTGCCTGTTAGTCCGGCAGCCGCGGCAACCCTTTTTCTGTGTAATACTTGACGTTCGCTCCGTGTCTGCCTCAACTCATTACCCACCGTTCCACAACAGTACTAGAGATGATCCAGTTTTGAAGTAAGTTTCTTTAGATGTGGGAAAGAAATGTAATTAATGTAAAACTTCCAGGTATTTATCACTCAAATTTATTACTCAAATATTTGGGTCTGATATACTAGAAGTCTGATGAACAAACAGATCAAACAATTTATAGCACGTTTCCGATAGTTACAGTTGCTTCAGCATAGCAATGCCAAATAACTAAATTTTCATTCTTGAGATTTCCAATACACTTTGCATAAAAAGCTGCAGATATTTAACAGAAACAGATAACAGATAATCAGAGTTGGAAGGGACCTTATAGATCATCTAGGCCAACCCCTGCCCAAGTGGGAGACCCTACACCATTTCTTACAAATGGCAGTCTGCAGCAGCGAATCCACATCTAACAGCCTGGGCATATGCCAAAGCCTCACGTAGGCAAAGGAGTTTTGATATATGCCAAGCCTCACGTAGGCAAAGGAGTTTCGATACCTGCAAGACCTCACGTAGGCTGAAAGCAGGTATCAGGAACAAAAGGATGCTGCCCACCTTGGGCTACTGGCTGGACTGCAGGCGTGGATTGATTACTTTGTATCCCTTAAGCACTGTGATTGGGCGCTACACTGTATCCACTGAGACCCCCCACTCTTTTAACATGTAAAGTAGACTGAACTTTCTCTTTTGTGACGTTTTAACAATGTGTGTTCAATAAAAGAGCTTCCCTGAGCGCGTGTTCGGGGCTGCTCATCCAAGACTGAACCAGCTTGGTCTCTTTCTTGATGCATTGGACTCAATGAGAAGCCCTCCTAGTGCGGAGCAAAGCCGCAGCAGTCCAACCTCTTCTTGAATGTCTCAAGTGATGGTGCTCCCACAACTTCTGAGGGCAAGCTGTTCCATTGATTGATTGTTCTCACTGTCAGAAAGTTTCTCCTTATTTGCAGGTTAAATCTCTCCTTGTTCAGTTTCCATCCATTATTCCTTGTCTGGCCTACAGGAGCTTTAGAAAATAGCTGGACCCCTTCCTCTCTGTGGCAGCCCCTCAAATATTGGAAGACTGCTATCATGTCTCCCCTGGTCCTTCTCTTTACTAGACTAACCAGGCCCAGTTCCTGCAACTGTTCTTCATTTCTAAGATAAATTTAGTAGTCATTTATTCAAAATTTCTAGAAATCCAGTATTTGGAAGATAAATCTTCTGCCATGATTATTGCTAAGGTAAAATATTTAAACAATTAGATTTGATAGTTGGGATGGGGTAATCTGTATCATACTTAGGCATGGCCTTTATGGGAGTCCATGTAACATTAGAAAATGTTTTTCTGTTCTGAAAAGATTTACATTATACTCTATTTTGTGAAGTTTTAATGCTTCTCATATGTAGTTCCTCTTTCTTCTTTACTTTTGGACTAAGGAAGAAGTCCCTTTATCTTATTTGCTCTCCTTAATTCTTCTGAAAGAGAATACAGAATACAACTTCTGAGCAGTGAACTAAGGGCAACTCTAAATAGTCTTCCATTCTCCTTCCATCTCCTGTTCCATCTGTTGTTCCATCGGTCAAGCCAATTTCTAAAATCCCAGGCTGGCTTGTAGTAGGTTGGCAACGAATCGTACTGTTGTTTAGCCTTAACTATTTTAACTATGGTCATGACAAGACCTGGTTGGTCATTCCCTTGCTTCTCAATTTTTCCATTCAGGTAGGGAAAGCAAGCCTTGCTGGTTGTCTACAGTGTTTGCCTTTATCTGTCAGGGATTGTTCCCTGTTTGTTCTTCTTTCTGCCTTTCTTTGCTTTCCCAGATTTTTACACATAGGGATACATTCAAACACCCCTCCTATCTTGTGATGGGAGCAAGTGTGGTTCAAGGTACATCCATTATGAAAGCCTTAGTCCAAGTGTTGTATTCATTGAAAGTGGGCTTTTATAGGTTAATAACACAACGTGCTATGAAGCGTAGACCCAGTTTGGCATCAGGCTAGTAACCATGGGCTCCCTACTTGCCTTAAAGACAAAGCAAGTGGGGTGATTTCAGGCGAGTCTTGCTCAGCCCTATGAAAGAGGCAAGGGCAACCCACTTCCCAAAACATTGCCAGGAATACTGCAGGGATTTCTCCTGGCAGTTACTCAAGAGTCAAACATTTTCCAGCTCAGGTTGGAAAGCAACAGTTTTGAATCAAAGCTGGAAAACATGGTTGTTGAAGGAAGACAAGTCAGGAAGCAGTATGTGGTCCATTACGTACTGGTGATGAGCCAAACAGAAAGTACAATCTGCTGTCTCTTTTGCACAAGAGAAATGGTGAATAAGTAAACCACAGAAAGCTAATCTGTCCACTCCTCTATTATTATTTTGTTCTTCATACAATATTAAGCAAGCGAGAAGTACAAATGCCGCCAGGCTTAAGCATTTTCTTTCTTTCTGCAAGACTATTGGCTCCCTCATCCTCTTCTCTTGGGCAATGCAAGCACAGAAGGAACCAGATGCAAAGATTCCCTAAGATTCTCCCTCGATGGATCCTACCCACACTACTTTCCTACTACAGACAGAAACGAGATAAGAGCGGGCTCAGTGAGCGATCGCTCAACTGAACCGGAATCTTAAGCCAAACGAGAGAACCGTTCCAAGTTTGCTTCTGGTTAGGTCCCAGGAGCTAAATCTTCCCTCCTTCTAGAGCAGGCATCTTCAAACTTGACGGCTTCACGGCTTGTAGACTTCCACTCCCAGAACTTCCCTTGTTATAGAACCTGAGCAGCAACAGCGAGTGGGGAAGGATGCGAGGTGTTGGTGTCTTGCTTTCCCGTGGATCGGGCAGAACTCGAAGCAATTCCTCGACCGTGAAAGGGGAGCGAAGGGGAGCGATGCGAAACCAAAAACTCCCACGGGTTGAGCCGACCCTTCCTTGGGTCTTCGCTCCGCCCCTTCGCGCCAGACTTTTCCATGACGCTCCCACTCCACACCACCCCAGGCGGCTCGCCCCAGAGCCTTATGTTTTCTGACTGTCTTATGAGCCCAGCCTGGAAAGAGAGGGGTGCAGGCGGCCGATCTTGTCTTCCAGAAAGGCCGGGGTGCTGAAGGAAAACTCGGACGGCGCTTTCTCCCCTCCCTTCGCTTCCTTTCAGGGGGTGATGGAGTCGGCGGCGGCGGCCGTGTGTACCTTGCTGTGTCCCGGAGCTTTCTGGCAACGCGTCTCCGGCCCGCAAGAGGAGCAGTTGCTGAAACAGATGAGCTACGCCATGGTGGGCTTTATATCTGTGACGGGAGTGTTCGTCCTCTGCCGGACCGGGGCACCATACGGCCGCTACGCTTCAACCTCTTACGGCTACCCTGTTCCTGCCACCCTGGCCTGGATGGTGCAAGAAGCGCCTGCCTTTCTTTTCCCTGGAATGCTCGGGCTGTGTAGCGGCGGTAGCCGTCTCAGCTTTTGGCCCAACCGGTTTCTGCTGGGACTCTTCCTCATCCACTACTTTTACAGGTTGGCGGGACTTTTATTTTGTCTTAAGTCTTTCTTTTTATTTATTTATTTTTTTAATTTTGTGGCGCGCGGTTTGAAAAATCTATTTTCAAAGGAATGTCTTGCTTTTTTTTTTTATGGAGATGGTCTTTGAATGAGGTTTAACCAGAAACGGGACTGCTTAATTAGGTGCTATATAGAGACCAGTTTTATATAAAAAGATCAGCCAATATAACCCTAAACCATGAGGCTCTGGCCAATTATTTATAGGCAGAAACTCAAAAAGCGCCTTTGACAGAGATTATAGATGACAAAATCTATCAGAGATGGATTTGGTTAGGGCTGAAACTATCAAGCCAAACATCTGAAGTTAAATCCTGGTTTTTATTTAAATCTTTTTTGATTGGAGTAGGATCATGCCTTTTTTTCTTGATTAGATTATTGTCCATGTATCTTTTCTTCATCCTTGTTACTTTATTCTTCAAAATGATAAAAATACAGTTCAGAAAAGAGCTCAGTCGTCAACAGTTGTGTATAAAAACATATTTTGAGAGGGGGGAAACTGACAAAAGAAACTCTGGATGGGTCTTGCACTAATTCATTGGGGCTTATTTATGGATGGCTTTCTATGGAGTCTCACAGACTGGTTTAACATTTCAAGGCATAATATTATAAGTGCCATTTGTGGTTTATGAGAAGTTACAGCCACCATATATTTGGCTGTCTGATGAAATTTTAAAATTCAGTTCATTCTTAGTATTGTGCATAGAAGATTGATAACTCCATATTATATGTTTGTTTGATTGATTGATTGATTTCTATAGCCACCCTTCGCAGCAAATGCAGTTAAAAATTTAAAAACATATTACAATTAAAAACTTAAAACAATAAAAACAGTAAGAACCATTAAAACAATAAAAGACATTGTTTTAAGCATTAAAATGTTCTTAATTATAAAATCGCTTGTTTATTCATTTTTTATGTACTTCATCCTATTAAACATACATTTGGGAAAAAAACTTTCTGTAGTCATCATCACAGTATGCAATATCTGAATCAGTATTTTCTAATTCCTTTTTGAAATCTATGATAAAGCTCTCCCTATTCTTTATGATTCTGAGCACACTAATTATAAGGTGTAGCCGTTGAAGAAAGGTAAAGCAATTACAGAAAGGAATCTCATCTATAACATTTTCCACCCAAACAGCTGAATTGAATTCTAGAATAGCTGACTACAAGGTCATTTATTTCCATTACAAAGCACTTTAAGGATGGCATATACCCTAGTAAAAAAAAAAAAGGTTGCCTGCCAAACGTCTTAGACTCTTCAAATTTATTTGAGAAGAGAAACCACATTCTTAACAGTGATTTATAAAACATTCCAGGAAGTAATTTATTTCTGAATAATTCTTGTGTTAGAAGCATAGATTGTTGTAATCTGTATGTAAGACCCTTCTTCAAGGTATGGTGGATTTCTCAGATGTCAGGATTTGGGTGAACTTTCCACAGGTCCAAATTTCTTTACTAATGTTGCTCCACTTAGCTTCCCTGTCCAGTTTCCTGTTATGCTGTCTTTTTTTTTGTCACTTGAGCAAATTCTTTAGATTATAGGGAACATATATGCCCTTTGAGTAATTATACTCAACAATGCCCTCAAGTAATTATATTATCTCCCTTTTTTGGCAGCCAAAATGTTTGTTTTGCCTCCCAGCTGACCTATTTCTCTACACAGTTTCTCTATATGTAATTTTATGACATTTATTCTTCTGTTTCTAAATTTTCCCATGCTCCTCTGTTAGTGTTCTAAAATGTAAATAAATCTCTTTTATTTAAATTTCCACTCTGATTGCTTTTATGTGTACTATCTATTATATAAGCAAGATAAATGTATTTCTCCAAAAGAAGCAAAATGTTGCTGTACTACGCATAAGCTTCACCCACAACTGGTTGCTAATACTTCTTCTTGTTAGGAGATAGCTTTGTGTTGTTCATTTTATTGATTGTATTTTTATTGGTCAATGACTGAAATAGTTCTGTCAGTCTAGTCTAGCTGTATCAACATTTTGTCAGTATTACTACTGTTGTAGTTACTGCTGACAAGTTATTAAGCATCTTGACAATGGAAGCATTGGTTCACCCAAATGTTCTTGATATAGAAAATATTGTTATATACAAAGATAGTGAATGAGAAGGGGGAACTTAAAAATAAACAAGAACTGAGTGATCAAGGGATTGATGACACAGTATTCACAACTGCAGATACATTCCAGATATGAGAAAGGTGCAAAACTATATGGTTTTTAGACAGAATTAACAGAATTATAAATGAACAGGGATAGAAGAAAAACTGATTTGAAATGTATAGTTATTTACTACACTTCAAACTGGAAGAGGAACAAATAAAGGAAACAAGGATAGTATGGGCAAAAAAAATTGGTTACAATAATTTTTTGGTCAAAAATCGATATTCTCTTCTCATCTCTCTCACTCTTCTGGGGACTTGTTTTAAAACCATAATCTCTTTACCTTTATATTTCAGCCCCTTATCTCTTGCGACTTGTAATATTTGTGTTTTAATAGTCTTCTTAGTAAATCTGACATGGATCTCCCTTGGTAGCTTATTCCTCATTGCATATCTTGTAAAAACACGATATATCTCATCTACTCC